AGTTTCTGGCAAAGGTGCCAAGGTAATTCAATGAGGAAAAGATCATCTTTTCAACATATGGTTCTGGAATAAATGGACACCCTTATGGAGAACAAGTGAATCCTGATGCTTATCCCACTCCATACAAAACAAATTATTGAAAAGATCTGAACCTAAATGCAGAGGCTAAAATTCAAAAACTTCTATTTTTTGTTTGTTAAAAACTTGTAAATGAAAGCACAGGAGAGATTATCCGTGATCTTAGGGTAGGCAAAGATGGCCTAGATAGGACACAAAAAGTACATAGGCCATAAGAGGAAAAGACTGATAAATTGAGCTTCATCAAAAAATTTTTAAATAACTTCTCAGTTCAATAGACAGTATTAAGAAAACAAAAAGGCACAAGCTACAGACTGGAAAAATTATTTGCAGTGCTTAATCTGACAATGGACTTGCATTCAGAATACATAGAGAATTCTTACATCTCAATAAGAAGATCAACAATCCAGTAAAAAAAATAAAAGGATAAAATATTTTAACATACTTCACAGAAGATAAATGACAAAAGGCCAATACGCCCATGAAAAGATTCTCAACATCGTTGGTCATCAGAGAAATGCAAATTAAAATCACAATTAGATACCATACACCCCCCACTAGAACAGTTCCTAAAAAGACTCAGAAAGTGTTGGCAAGAATGTGCAACTGGAACTCTCCTGTTACTGTTGGGAATGTACAATGATACAATTACTTTGGAAAACAGTTTGGCAATTTCTTATAAATTTAAACCTCCTCTTACCATACCACTCAGCCATCTCATTCCAAAGTATTTATCCAGAAGAAAGGAAAACATGTCCACACAAAAATTTTGTGCGTGAATGTTCATGGCAGCAAACCCCAAACTGGAAGCTACCCAAATGTTCACAACAGATGAATGGATGAACAAAATGTGAGATATCTACCCAGTGGTATACTACTCAGCAATAAAAAGGAATGGATTACTGATTGGCTCAATAACACGGATGGCTCTCAAAAATGTATTCTGAGTGGGAGAAGCCAAACACGAGAGAGTCTATACTTTATGATTCCATGTGTATGAAACTTTAGAAAAGGCAGATCTCATCTACACTGAAAGCAAGCACGTTGGTGGTTGCCTGGGGACTGGAATGACTGAAATGGGGCAAAAGGTAGCTTTCTGTGGCAACGGAAATGTTACATATTTTTATTGTGATTATACAAGCGTATAAATGTAACAAAATCTCATCAGGATGTACACTTTAAATGAATTTTACCACATGTCAATGAAGTTGATTTTTCAAAATGGCGTGTTCAACACAATATTGGAGGAGAACGAAGTTGGGGGACTGACATCAGCTAAGGCTAACCATATAGCTACCATAATCAAGAGTGGTATTTGTGAAAGGACAGACTAATTGAACAGAATGGAGAGCCCAGAAAGAGACCTACATAACTATGGTCATATGATCTTTGACAAAGGAGGAAAGGCCATACCATGGAGAGAAGAAAGTCTTCAAAAATGATGATGGAACTGGACATCCACAAGCCAAAAAATGAATCTAGACACAGACCTTACAGCTTTCATAAAATAACTCAAAACAGATCACAGACCTAAATGTAAAACAGAACTATAAAACCCCTAGTAGATAACAGGAAGTAAGCCTAGATGACCTTGAATACAGCTATGACTTTTTAGATACAATACCAAGGATCCATGAAAGAGATAATTGATAGGCTGGGCTTCATTAGAATTAAAAACTTCTGCTCTGCAAAAGACAATGTCAAGAGAATAAGAAGGCAAGCCACAGACTGGGAGGAAATATTTGCAAAAGACATATCTGATAAAGGATTATTATCCAAAATATACAAAGAACTCTTAAAATAACAGTAAGAAAACAATCCAATTTTAAAAACGGTCCAAACACCTTAACAGACACCTCACCAACAAGATGTACAGATGTTAGATAATCATATGAAAAGACGCTTCACATTATGTATCAGGGAAATGCAAAATACAATGAGATGTCACTAAACTGAAAATCCAAAACACAGACACCACCAAATGCTGATGAGGACTTGGAGCATCAGGAACTCTTGATTCATTGCTGATGGGAATGCAAAGCGGTACTAGCCAGTTTGGAAGATGGTTGAGCTTAAACTAAACTGCTCTTACTATAGGATCCAGCAGTCACACTCCTTGCTATTTATGCAAAGGAGTTACATCCACACAAAAGCCTGCACACAGATGTTTGTATCTGTAGCAGCTTTGTTCATAATTGCAAAAACATGGAAGCTACCTAGATGTCCTTCAGGAGGTGAATAGATAAGTAAATTGTGGTACATTCAGACAATGGAGTATTATTCAATGCTGAAAAGAAATGAGCTAATAAGCCATGAACAGACATGGAGGAACCTTAAATGCATGATCAATGCATGATTCCAACCAGATGACATCTGGAAAAGGCAAAACTATGGTGACAGTAAAAACCTCAGTGGTTGCCAGGGGTGGGATGAGAAGATGAATAGGCAGACAAGAGTATTTTTCGGGCAGTGAAAATACTCTGTGTGATACCATAATTATAGATACATGTCATTACACCTTTGTCCAAACCCACAGGATGTACAACAACAGGAGTGAACTCCATTTATCATTATTACTCCCTTGGGTGTTGGTTTTCTCAGGTTAGTTTGGTGCTTCTCTTTCGTGCTGCTACTTGTCATCAAATATTTGGCAATTCTTGTTTATGTAAATGTTAAATGGCATTGGAATTCTAGATTGATCATTATTGGTTACTGAAGTGTATTTTCTCAGTAATAATTATCTCCATATTTTCTCAAAATCCCTATTCTTTTTTTCTTGATCTTTTTCTCTCACATATATGCAGTTACAGAGTTTTCTGTGCTCATGGGTTTCTGATCAGTTTGATTCCATTTGATTTATATTTTCAATAAATTTCTCACTAGCCCAGTTTACTGATTGTGCCCTTTACACAACTCAGTGCAATCATGGATTTATTCTGATTTTAAAGCTTTTGTTTCATTTCAGAAGAGAATGGGAAAGAAAAGTAAAAATCCAGTTCAGATTTTTTCAGTTTATGAACAAAAATTTATCTTCCCCGGCACATAAGTCATGGTTATTAGAAATAACAGATGCCTGAGGCTTTCCCCCCTCCTCCGGCTAAGCATGAGCAGGACCTCACCTAGGGTCATTGTCATTGTCTAGATGAGATGCTAGTGATTCAGTGTCTGGGCCTCAAGTTTGCACATTCAGTATCACCCACCTAATCATAATAGCTAATGTATAAACCGTGATGCCAATGTATTAATCTAAAACACAGTAGCTTACCTTTTCACTGACTTCACTTGTCAAACAATTAATTGCATGAAATTTATAAACAGAACTCCTTATTATGAGAATCAAAACACATTTTTCATTTAATTTTGTATACAGGTATAAAGTAACAAAAACTCTTATTTATTTATTTTTTTATTATTATTATGTTATGTTAATCACCATACATTACATCGTTAGTTTTTGATGTAGTGTTCCATTGATTCATTGTTTGTGTAAAACATTTAAAGTTAATATTGTTAATTGTAGAATCACCAAATTAAAGAGAGACTGTGCAAGCTATTCCTTGAGAAATAGATATGTCACAGAACTAGAACATTCTGCTTGGCCTGGCCCCTGACTTCCTTGTGTAGGCAGATGATCATCAGAAGCAAGATTATCATCACAAGGCGGTTTGGTAAACTTGGAATCAGAGCGAGAAGAGCTAGTTGAGTGATTTCAGTGGTTAGTGCTTCGAGGAGCAGGAGAGTCACTAGTAAGGTGATACCTTTGTCTTGAGGAAAGGATCGTACCTACTAAGAGCACCACAGTCTCCCATCAGTTACCTGGAGTTTTTGCAGCTACAGAGAGAGAGCACAACACAGACACACAGTGATGTCTACCTGACTCCCGTTTTTCAGTGTTTGCGTGCACTGCCTCCTGACCATATAGTTGCCAACCTTTACCCAACAAAAGTGGCATAACCAGCTCTGGGGTCTCCAGCTTTTAGAAGTCACTCTACCTTTCCCCCCTAATGATCCCACTAGGTACCCAGGACTGCATCTCCCGTTTGGGGGATGTGGGTGTCCTGAGGTCTTACAGGGGTTTGATGGCCACAGACAGGTCCGGATAGACTGAGAAACACCTTATAGCATGGATATTTGGCTCCTGTAAGCCAGCAAGGAATGGGTGGAATGTTGGGTGCAGACAGTCAATCCTTTTGGGTTCAGGTAACAAGAGGGTCTCTACTAGAGTTGAAGCCGGCCAGCTCCCCTGCCCCACCTTTTGAGATAAGAGCGATTCTTCAACGGTGCCACCAACGCAGCCCTCCGCTGACTTTACTTGAAAATTGGCTGCATGAAATGTATAAATAAGACTCTTTATAAGAATGAAAACACAGGGGCGCCTGGGTGGCTCAGTCGTTAAGCGTCTGCCTTCGGCCCAGGTCATGATCCCAGGGTCCTGGGATCGAGCCCCGCATCGGGCTCTCTGCTCAGCGGGAAGCCCGCTTCTCCCTCTCCAACTCCCCCCGCTTGTGTTCCCTCTCTCGCTGTGTCTCTCTCTGTCAAATAAATAAATAAAATCTTTAAAAAAAAAAAAAAAAGAATGAAAACACAATTGCCCATTCAGTTATTTATGTAATGCCCCACAGGCTGAAATAAACACTTAAATCTAGAATAGTTAAGACACGATATCGGGTAAACACGGCAGAGCTTCCTTTGAAGGATTTGCATCCCAAGAATGAGCAGAGCAGAACGAATGTCCCTCTGTCTTCCCTCAGACCAGCCTGCACACCCAGTGAGGTCAGATATGTCTACTTTGTTCCCCCGGCTCTCCTGCAAGAGCCAACGGCCATCATGTCAGTAAAGCTGATGCTTGCTGTATGTGGGGCGCCGTTCTCGGAGCTTGATGTGGTCACCCCTTTAATAGAGAACACCTGTGGCTTTTGCAGCTGTGAAGACGACCTCTCCGAGGACAGAGAGGAGCTCCTGCACGGGATTTCAGAGCTGGACATCAGCAACTCGGATTGCTTCCCCTCCCAGCTGCTAGTGCACGGGGCTCTAGCCTTTCCCCTGGGGTTAGATTCCTACCATGGCTGTGTCATAGCAGCGGCCCGCTATGGCCGGGGCCGGGTGGTCGTGACCGGCCACAAGGTATTATTCACCGTGAGCAAACTCGGCCCCTTTCTGCTCAATGCCGTGCGCTGGCTGGACGGGGGCCGCCGAGGCAAGATCGTGGTGCAGACAGAACTGAGGACACTGAGCGGCCTGCTCGCGGTGGGGGGCATAGACACCAGCATCGAGCCCCATCTGACCAGTGATGCGAGTGTCTACTGCTTTGAACCCGTGAGTGATGTGGGGGTCAAAGAGCTGCAGGAGTTTGTAGCCGAGGGCGGGGGACTGTTTGTTGGTGCCCAAGCCTGGTGGTGGGCCTTCAAGAACCCTGGAGTGTCCCCTTTGGCTCGGTTCCCAGGAAACCTCCTCCTCAACCCCTTTGGCATCAGCATCACAAGCCAAAGCCTCAATCCAGGGCCCTTCCGTACGCCTAAAGCAGGGATAAGGACCTATCACTTCCGCTCCACTCTGGCCGAGTTCCAAGTTATAATGGGCAGGAAGAGAGGGAACGTGGAAAAGGGCTGGTTGGCCAAGCTGGGGCCGGACGGTGCAGCTTTCCTCCAGATCCCCGCTGAAGAGATCCCTGCCTACATGTCTGTGCATCGGCTCCTGAGGAAGCTGCTGAGTCGCTATCGGCTCCCAGTTGCAACCCGAGAGAACCCCGTTATCAATGACTGCTGCAGGGGTGCTATGCTTTCCCTGGCCACTGGCCTGGCCCACTCTGGAAGTGACCTCTCTCTGTTAGTGCCAGAAATCGAAGACATGTACAGCAGCCCCTATCTGCGCCCCTCGGAGTCTCCTATCACTGTTGAGGTCAACTGCAACAATCCAGGTACGGAATGGGGGCGGAGCGCCCAGCGTGGGGTCCTGTGGGAACGGGGTCTGATGGCTTCAGAAGGCCATCTCCACCCTTGGCCATGCACTTTCAAGGAGATGGGGGTGGGGGTTTTAAGTAACATTTGCAAGAGTTGAGTCAGGGCAGCATGAAGGGAGAGAGCCGTGCAGAGTTCCCGAAGGGGCCGTGGATTCGCCGGACGGAGATGGCATCACGGAGGAGGGGTAAAGTCTGTCCTTCCTGTGCTCTGGCAGGCACCAGATATTGCTGGATGAGCACTGGGCTCTACATTCCTGGAAGGCAGATTATAGAGGTCTCACTGCCTGAAGCTGCTGCCTCTGCTGATCTGAAGGTAAGGCCGTGCCCCATCTCCACATGACACAGACCCAGATATTCTGGCTTTCACAGTTGCCATCTTATTTGATCCTCGTAAAAACCCTATTGGCAACGTGGGGCATGTACTTTTATCCCATTTTAAGGATGAGGCAACTGAGTTGCGGGTGCAGGTGGACTGAAAATATCGATCTAGTACACCTAAAACTAATGTAACACTGCGTGTCCACGATACTCCAATCAATCAGCCAATAGATCTGATTCATTTCAGAGCCCAGGACTCAAACCTAACCAACTCCTGGCTCTTAAATTTTGTGCTTTTCACTTATGTCCCAGAGTGGGGAATAAGAAAGGCACCAAACAGGGGCGCCTGGCTGGCTCAGTCGGTAGAGCCTGCGATTCTTAATCTCAGGGTCGTGAGTTCAAGCCCCACGTTGGGCATGGAGCCTACTTTAAAAAATAATAATAAAAATTTTTTAAAACTAAAAAAACAAAAGGCACCAAATGGAGGGCACCCGGGCATGCAGAAGTGTTCAATCAATCTCAGTTCCCTTTCTGTGCTCATCCAATCTCCCATTGGAGCGCAGGGTCTTTCTGCCTCTTTCCTGGGACACTGAGGACTGTTCCTGGCTCCCCTGGTCCCCCTTCAGCTGTCACTTTCTTTTTTTTTTTTTTTTAAGATTTTATTTATTTTTTTGACAGAGGGAGACACAGAGAGAGAGGAAACATAAGCAGGGGGAGTGGGAGAGGGAGAAGCAGGCTTCCCGCTGAGCAGAGAGCCCGATGTGGGGCTCGATCCCAGGACCCTGGGATCATGACCTGAGTCGAAGGCAGACGCTTAATGACTGAGCCACCCAGGTGCCCCTAGCTGTCACTTTCATACACACACACACTCCGTTCGAAAATTCAGTAGCCATCCTGCTCTGTCCCCCTGAAGAGTCGTTGTGACAGGTAGGGTCTGTTCTGTGCCCTTGTTCTGTAACTTGTTTAGCATAAACCTGGGAGAATGATCCCAGGACTCCACCCAGTACAGGAGCCGCTCCATCGGCCCAGGAGAGGAGCCCTGGAGAACGGGAGGAACTGAATCCACCCTCCAGTTCATGAGCTGGTCACACTGCCTCCCCCTGCACCTCCTCCCCAGTCAGCAAAAGTCCCAAGTCAGCAAGGTCCCCTCTGCCCCGTTCCCAAGGCCAGAGTCACCACAATGAAATAGGCAACCCAGGACCCTATGGGTTCCAGAGACACCCAGGGGCCTTTGTGGGAGTCAGCCCTCCTCAGCATTAGCCTATGGGCTGCACCTATGGGTGCCCCTCACTTCAGTGTCTAAACATGACCCTGTGTGGAGCTGACGCCCCAGGGAGGACGTTTACGTAAAACACGATTCGGTCCACACAGCCCCGAGGAATGATGGAATGGCATGGGCTTGCATGGGGTCATGGCCCAGTGGCCTTTCCTGTCCCCACCTCCTGGGAGCCCTCCCTCTCCACCTGCACACACCCCAAGGTGACTCTTAGGGGGATCTCTCTGCTCCAGATACAGATCGGCTGCCACACGGATGACCTGACCAGAGCCAGCAAGCTGTTCCGAGGCCCACTCGTGATTAACCGGTGCTGCTTGGACAAGCCCACCAAGTCGATCACCTGCCTCTGGGGCGGCCTGCTCTATATCATCGTGCCTCAGAGCAGCAAACTGGGCTCTGTGCCCGTAACTGTTAAGGGGGCCGTGCATGCCCCATACTACAAGCTGGGTGAGTGGGAGCCATGGGGAGTGGGAGAGCTGGGTCAGGAGATCATCTGGGGCTGTTTGGTGTAGGAGGAGAGAAACTCTGGGCTGGTAGAGGGGAGGAAGCTAAGTTTCCTTAGATTCAGCACTGGGGCCAAGGAGATGAAGACCAAACCACATTCTTGGAGACTTCCTAGAAGGATCAAAGGGGCGATATGGTCACTCATGACCTCGGTCTTTCCCTCCCGGGGTTCAAGTTGGATGTTTTAACATAAGGGATTTGGGAAAGTGAGTTTCAAGCCCCATGGCCTCTCTTCCCAGGGGAGACCTCCCAGGAGGAGTGGAAGAGGCGCATCCAGGAGAATCCAGGTCCCTGGGGAGAGCTGGCTACGGACAACATCATCCTGACAGTACCAACCGCCAATCTCCGCACGCTGGAGAACCCTGAGCCGCTGCTTCGCCTCTGGGACGAGGTGATGCAGGCCGTGGCACGGCTGGGGGCTGAGCCCTTCCCTCTGCGTCTGCCTCAGAGGATCGTTGCTGACGTGCAGATCTCAGTTGGTGGGTGCTCTGTGCATGCCGCCCCTGACAGCCTTCCTTTCTTTCAACAGACAAGCAGTGGGCAGGCAGCATGGTAAAAACGTTTTTCTAGCAAGACATACAAGATGTAAGTCTTGCTATTTAAACGAAAGGGGGGAGATACGTATTTAAAAAAATAGACTCAGCCAAATCCCCCAACAAAACAACTGGAAACTACCTAAGTACCCAACAGTATGGAATGGTTAAGTAATATATGGACAGACACTGAGGAAAATTTCTAAAGTGGTATTCTGATGGCATAAGGAAATATGATGGGATTATGGGACATGAGAAAAGTGGGCTGTGGAACCGTGTGTGAGCAGCATGTGAAATAGTGAACAGTCTAGGTCGGCATGTCAAGACTTGTCCTCCAACAGCCAGAAGAACGCAGGAACAAAGTGCTAGGCTTTCACAGGAGTCCCATTGGGCGCTTCAAGGAGAAAGTAAAAGTGGGGGGGGGTCTCCCCCCAGGGTCACAGTTGTTGGGAGAAGGAATTTAACAACGTTGAGAAGACACTGAATGAAGAGATCTCTGCCAGTGGGTCAAGAGCCTTACAAATCAGGGGGTGTGTAGAAATGAGAGAACGATGGAAATTTCTTTAGACCCCAGTTTTCTTGCCTTACGGAGGTGATTACTATCAAGTAGCATCAACGTGGGCAACACCGTTTCTAAATAATGAGAAGGGGAAACCACCATCCAAGAGTTCTCCATTTTGAGAAAAGAATATAATGAGACAGATTCACATGACAGGACACCCTCACAGAAGTGAAAAAGCTGGAGAGTAACACGAAGGGCTGTTTGTAACGTGCATCAGACCCATTACCGGCAGGCCAGAGTGAGGGTGGGGGAGAGCCCTGGTGGGCCTCGTGTGGATTGCCCTTCTGAGCCTTACGGGGTTCTGGAAGTCCTGGTAAAGACGGGTGGGGAGCGTTCTAACCCCTCTCCCTCCCTCCTGCGTTCCCAGGCTGGATGCATGCCGGGTACCCCATCATGTGCCATCTGGAATCTGTGCAGGAGCTCATCAATGAGAAGCTCATCAGAACCAAGGGGCTGTGGGGCCCCGTCCACGAGCTTGGCCGCAACCAGCAGCGTCAAGAGTGGGAGTTCCCCCCGCACACCACCGAGGCTACCTGCAACCTGTGGTGTGTTTACGTGCACGAAACGGTCTTGGGCATCCCTCGGGGCCGGGCGAATATTGCTCTGTGGCCTCCCGTTCGGGAGAAGAGAGTCCGAATCTACCTGGGCAAGGGTCCCAATGTGAAAAACTGGAATGCGTGGACTGCGCTGGAAACGTACCTACAGGTACTGGGCAAGAGGGAGGGGGATGGGAAACCCCGCGGGGGGGCCGCCCGTGCAACCTCGAGAGGGGACACCCTAGTGACCCCAAAGTGGACTTAATTGCCTCAGCCGCACCCTCACGCCATGATTCTGAGGAGATTCATGAGAGTAGATAGAAAGCACCAAGGCAGAGGCGAGGGCAGTACTCTTCAGTTACCATGGCTTGCTCTGAAGCCAGACATACCTGAGACTGAAGCCAAACCATGTCACGGAATAGCTATCTAACCCCAAACACCATGCCCACCCCCCCACACACACACGTTATGGGAGGGGACCCATCATTTTCCTTAGAAACTGCCTCAGTTTCTCCCTCAGAGGCAATCCAAGATGCCTCAGTGGCCTGCACATGAGGTTGCCTCTGCCTTTGAACTATTGTCCAGCATCCAAGTTCCCTCCCCCGAGTCCCTGGAGCGGCTCCCAGGCCACCGTGCAGAGTCTCACCACCTGGGATTCTGGAACTCAGTCTCCAGCCAGGTTCTTCCACGTGCCCGACTTCCTCTCTGTGTGTACCCACTGCCCCGAGAACGATAGCGAAACTGCCCGGAGACTCTAACCTCGTCGCTGGGGCCACTTCACCCCAGGGACAAAAGTTGTTCAGCTGTGAAATCCAGCTGAGGGTGTTTCAGAGAACTGCTACTGTCCATCCTAACCTTAAAGCGCCATAACCCGGCCTCACACCGGCTTTTTCCAGGGGCCTCGGGCCAGCTGCCTTTTCCTAAAATGATGCCTTACTTAACTTCTTTCCAACCACCTAGACTATACATCATCTTCTGTTTCTACTGGACTTACTTTTTTTTCCTAAAGGCCATGTCAGTAGCCTTACAGATTGGCACAGACCTGTGACTGATGCAGGTTATGTCCGGGTAAGGGAGAGGGGGATAGTTCTCCTGCTTTGGGGGTTTAACTTTGCAGCTGTGAAAGATACAAGGATTTTTTTCACTTCAGTCAGCTTTAAACCCTTGTGTGATATCCTCTCAACACTTTCACGATGGAGTGAGCTACCACCTAATGACGTAGGTGGTAAATACTGATAATAATCATGACCGTGATTACCACAGCCATCCTTTATTGAGGGTCTGCTCCATGCTGAGCACCTGGCTAGCTCAGAGGCCCCATTAAGATAAGACAGAGAGTAGCCCATGAGGCCAGCAGCTAGAACTGCAGAGAGGGCCAGTGACAGAAATGAAACTAATGTTTTTGGGGGTTAAATACATTACATTAATTTATTATAGTGTTTTTGGGGTCTTTCTGTGGATTAAATGTCTCCTCCTGCTGCCCCTTTCTCTCCCCAGCTACAGGAGGCCTTTGGTTGGGAGCCATTCATCCGTCTCTTCACTGAGTATAGGAACCAGACCAACTTGCCCACAGATAATGTTGACAAAATGAATCTGTGGGTGAAGATGTTCTCCCACCAAGTGCAGAAGAATCTGGCTCCGTTCTTTGAGGCCTGGGCCTGGCCTATCCAGAAGGAAGTGGCTACCAGCCTGGCCTATCTGCCTGAATGGAAGGAAAATATTATGAAATTATACCTCCTCACACAGATGTAAGGAGTGCCCAGCGAGGTGGCAGGTAGAGAGGTTTGGGGAGGTAGGCAGAGATGGGGATTCATTCCTCGACCTCTGTCTCTTAGGGTTCTAGCCTTGTGCTCTTGGCTCATTGCCCCCATATCTTAATACCTAGTAGTTCTAGCTCTAGGAAGTGGGTTAAGAACACAGCAAAAAGGGGAATCAGAATTTCTTAGGAGCAAGGCCTTCTGTTTATGAGTCTCATTCCTCTGCTCTCAGCTATCATATTCCCTCCTGGCCCTATTTTGGCCTGGTTCTGAGAGCTTTGGCATCTGCCTCTATGCCATCCCTTGGTTCACCACTATGGGCCATGGCCCTTGCGGGTGGTTCTTATCCTGACATCCTGAGGACTCTCTGGGCTTTTGTTTTTGACCAGTTGTTCCAAACACCTGACCATAGAATCCACTGAAACACAAATTTACCAGGATAAGCAGACAGTTCCTTGATATTCTGTGTCTAGGGTAGTTTTCAAAGAGTTTGGAAAGCAGCCTGGTGTAGTAGAAAGAGCCCATGGCTAGCGTTAGCTCTTGGGGAAGTCATTGTGTCTCTACTCACATTTCCTTGTGTGTGAGATGAGGACAAAAATCCCTGCCTCACAGGGTTGTCGTGAAGACTCAGACTGAGAGTTCTGAAGAGGTTTGTGAATGTAGGGATTCTTCTATGTTCTGCTGGCCCCCAGAATAGTGAGCTGAGTACTCCCCTTCTCTCGCCATAGCCTGGAGGTTAAGACCATCATCTCTAAGAGTAGACTCCCCGCATCCAAAGCCTGGTTCTTCCACCTGTTAGTCACATGACTCTGGGCAAGTTCCTCATAAAATGGGATCTATTTCATAGAATTATTGTGAGGATTAAATTTTAGTCCCTCTAAAAGGAATTAGAACAGTGCCTGGCAGTTGGTAGGTATTGAGAAAGTGCCAGGTGCCTTTATTACTAATTGGCATTAATTAATCATTTCAGAACTAGACTACCCTTTTACATGGCATTTACAGATGTGGTGTGATCCATCCCATCCCATCCTACACTCTATACACCAGCCTCTCAAAGGACTGGGGTCCATTGCTTTATGAGCTCTAGGATCTACAGGATCCACGGGCTCTAAATTCATAGTGGGGGTCTTACTAGCTACTTGGCGTTTGGTCTCTTTATTCAATTCCATCTTTCAGGTAAAATTCCTTCTTTGATTAAATCAAGAGTGGAAGTCACTTGAAAAATCAGAACAAATCCATGAGGGCGTTTGTCTTTAGCAAACAATGGGCATCCAACTTAGGGATGGTGTTCCTATCAGATTCCTATCACTGCCCAGAATTCCTTACTAGTTTGGCAGATAAAGTCCACACGCAGAGAGAATCTTGACTTCAGAACCAGATAACTGGATACGACTGACCCAAATTTTATTTAATTACAATGCAAAGATTTTCTCAAGTTTTCTTCTAATCCTATTCAAAACCTCCCATTTCCGTGTAATTTTAACTAGAGTTGAGGCTCTGGGATTAATGCACACATCCAGCCAGTTTTCCTTTAGACCGCTTATATTTATTTGGATGTAGTTGTTTCAGTACACTATTTTATTTGCCTTATTAAGAAGTGGGTGGATGCAGAGATAAGATTTGACCTAGAGAGTGTTTTTCTGTGGATTCCTTTATTATGTCATTTCTTAATCCTAGAAGTCTTTTCCCTTATTTCATGAATATCTATCATCTAGATGCTTTAAACATAGATGATGTTGGATATTCATTCAACATTTGAAAAAATTCTATTGATTAGTTAGAATTCTATCAATTAGATAGTATGTGCCAAATACTGTACTTGTTCTTTTATATAGATTGTTTAATTTAATCTTCACAATAATCTTATGAGATGGAAATTTATCGCTCCCATTTTAGGAAGAAGTGAACTGAATTTTACAGAGATCAAGTAAATTGCCTAAGTCTACACTGCTAATAAATGGTAGACCTGGGATTTAAACCTGGGCACTCTGATTACAGAATGGGTGTTAATAACTACAGTGCTTTGAATATGCAAATAAATGAGTAAATGAAGAAACCGGCCAGCAAACAGAAGGACCTTTATGTCCCTACTTGCCAGCACTTTGCCTGCTTGTACTCACTCCTCATCCAATTTTATCAGAACAGAAAGTCCCTTTGTTTCTCCCAAATGCCAGTTAAAAGGAAGAACTTGAGGTAGGCTCCTAAGGTACATCCCAAAGACAGTGACCCGTTTAGCATAATCCAGGTCTTTCAGATCCCAGTTTATTCAGGTTTCCTTTATCATCTCTAGAGCACCATGAAAGCATTCTAGTAGGGTACTGGGTTTTGAATGATGGGTTATTTTGGTAAAGTGCCTGACTCCCAAAAGCCCCAGACATTGCATGTTCTCAGCAAGGAAATCAGATTCTTAGTCTTCTAGAATAATATTTGTATCCATCCTGGCCCTCTTTAGTTCATTTTTAGCATTATGGCCCTGGGGACCTTCTTAAAATAGGAAGCTATTCATGTCACTCCCCTGTCTGAAAGCTTCCAGTGGGACTTCAAATATAAGATGATGAACTGAGCATATAAGTTTACCTCCCCTCCCTCCCTAGGCCCCACTGAAATTGAAGTCAAGAAATGCAAGAGAGAATTGACACATCTCAGCAAAGAAAACTAAACAGATTTGATTATAACTGAAGAAGATCTCAACACATTTCTGGAAGAGAGAAAGTGGATGAAACATGAGAATGAATGAAAGAGTGAAGGTATCTTTCAGACAGAATAGAAGCTGATCTGAATAACGTAATTCCAAAGAAACATGAGCACCTGAAAAGTCTACAAAGAGTTATACCAGTTGTAAAATTGAATCCCATCCTATTCTGCCCCAACCATTGTGCATAGAATACAGGCAGTCTATAATTGGTATCCATTACAAATCTATTGTTCTTGTTGTTGTTTGTAGAGAAATTGAATAAACTGCCTGAGGAGAGGTAGGAGTTGGTGCCCCAGAATAAAATTTCTCTTTTTGTGGAAATAAGTGACCCCTAGCCTATCGGCTAATCCTCTGAATGTTGAAACCCCTCCTCAAGTAACCCTAGTGCTTCTAGTCCTGGAAGAGGCTTATTGGAGAAACAGATCCAACCATACACTGGCAGAGGACACCCACACCAACTCCTGTAAAAGTTAACAGTTATATTGATTCTTAAATGAAAACAGTCAGCTAGGAATCCCGTCTTTGGGCATCGGGGGGTGGAGGAGGAGGACCAGGGGAGGAGCATTTAAGAAAAATAATCAGTTAGAATTAGGACGCTTGAAAAATAAAGTGAACATGGAAAGAATAACTTTAAAATCTGTATCTTCAGAGAGATTTGAGGTGTATTTGTAAGATGAGTACAGAATGCTACACAGAAATGAAAAACTGAGAATAAAGGAGCCCTTGAAAGTGAAATAAAACTGCCCAAAATATTCAGTGGACAGGCTGGAAAATATAGTTGAGGGAAACTCCTTAGATATAGAACAAAAAGAAATAGCAGAAAAAAATAAAGAAAGGAAAAGATCTAGACAATCAATATCTAAGCATTAGGACTTTCTGGAAAAGAGAACATAAAAAAATATAGGTGAAGAAATAAAAAGGACAAAAAATGAAGAACAGAAAGAACCACGTCTCCAGATTGAGGAGCCCCAATACAACCTACGTCTACACACAATCTTGTGAAATTCTGGAATATTAAGGATACAAGGAAGATGTTAAAAGTGCCCAAAGAGAAAATAAAGTTAAGTCATCACAATTAGCTCAACTAAAACAGGAATAAGAAATAGACTGGCAGCAGATTTTTCATTAGCAATACTGAATGCTAGAAGCCAGTGGAGTAATTTCTTCACTTACAGAAAATTTTTGTACTCAGAGTAACATAGCAAAGCCAAACTGTCAAGAGTAGTGTCAAAATAAAGACCTTTTCTGACATGCAGGTTTTCAGAAAGTCTACCTACTTTGCACCCTTTCTGAGAAAGTACCTCGAGGACGTTCTCCGACAAAATGATGAGGAAAACTGGGAAAGAGGAAAAAACAGAATCCAGAAAACAATGGATCACACCCAGGAGGTGTCACTCTAGCAGACCCATTTCAGATGAGAGTACACAGTCTCGGGCTCTTTGGGGAAAGTATGCATTCTGTTCCATAGATAGTTTCATTGAGAAGCTGGAATGTTTGAGTATATGGAGGACATACATTCTTTAGTCAGCAAAAAGAAAACAGAAATAAGTCAAGACATTTGGGTCCAAATGTGAAACAACAACAAAAACTCACGGGATATAAGAAGAGACTCAACTGGACATTGGCGGTAGGTACATCTCCTTACAAGAGGCACGGGCTTCATGAACACTGGATATGTACGGGAGAAAATGGCCTAGCTTCTACTCAGCTCTCAGTAAACATGATTTACTTAGCCAAAGTAATGCAGATGCTGTTTGTTGGTATTCAGTGTTCTGATCAGCCTAGAGACAAAACATGAAAGGCTTACTGTTTTATTCAGGAATGAAACTGAAAATAATTAATTCTGACAAATTAAGAAACAAGAGAGCAGAAAGAGGTTGAGAATTGGTTGGGGGAAGAGAGGTGTCAGGAAGAGTGGGGCTACTTAGATATTCACAGTGGGAATGAGAAGATAAAGTCCGCAGCTAATGGAACAAGAACCGGAGGATAGTATATTGTCCAAAGTTATAAATTAAATCAATAGAAGTCTTAAAAATGGCATATCTATCAAAAATTTGGGAAAGGATAGGCATAGGAAAGGTGGGGATAGTGTAAGTTAAATCCTTATCTTTTGTAATGGGGAATTATTAAAGATTGTCTAAAGTTAATAAGTCAAGAATTATTGTTCAGACATATTATTTAATGTTAGCAAGTTAGTCAACAGAAGATCTAAAAATAGAAATTGTTAAATGCATTGCCTCTAGGGAATGGGTCTAGGGTTAAAAGGGGTGGGGTGGGAAACTGTGTTTTTCATTTCAAGTCCTTCTGTACTATTTAATTTTTTACCTTGTGCATGTATTTGAAAAATTTTTAATAAACTCAAATAAAAATTCTTCAGTGACCTCATATTGACTAAGATATGCCCCAACCAAAACCCTTAAAATGGCTTATGATGCCCTCTGATACTTGGATCCACCTGATTTGTCCAGGTTCATCGTATCTCCCCATTACTCTCTGGTTCCAGCCATACTAAATATCTTCGAGCTATTCACACCTCACCTTCTCGTTTCCACAGGTGTTCCACAAAAAGCAAAGCCTGCCCCTGATCTCACCATGTATCTGAGATTAAGCTTACTCTCTAGCAGATTTTCAATATTTGTTGAGTGAGGGAACACTCATCAGGTGTTGCATGAAGATGGCCAACCAGTGTTCCTTCCCAAGAAGGCGTATGATATTTGTCCCTATTCCAGGAAGCATTTCAAGATCATATCGGTTTGTAAGTTTGCCTGTATTCCTATTCATCTGACAATTTTAGAAAGTTTTAGTCCTATATGAGACCAGATGGTGTCAGAGGATTTCATCCATCAGTCTCCTTGTTATATTCCTTGCTACTTTGCTTGAACATCATAATCTGCTTTCTGCTGTTCCCCCCCACCCCCCTTCCCCCACCATATTTTGGAGAAGCAGTCAACTCTAAAGGGGAGATCTTCAGGCTCCCAAATTTCTTGTGTCCTGCTATTCCTAGTCTCTTGGTGGCTCTTCTTTCTCTGCTAGTTTACTTTCTTCTATTGTCTAACTCCCAAGGCCAGATAGAGCTTCCTAAGGAATATTGGCCTTACATCCTTACATATTGGCCTTACAGATCAGTCTGATATATTTAGTCCCTAAACCAATGTCCCCACCTGATGTCCCAACCTCATCTAATATATATGCCTAGCAAGCCAACAGATAACCAGCTATAGCCTTAGATGTTGACTATTTTTGCTGACAAAAGTAACCCATGCTATCCTTTCTTCCAAGACTACATCACATCTGTGTTCTTTATTCCTTCAAAGCTTTTGGACCCCTGCTCAGCTTCCATTTTGAAAAGGATTTCCTTCTTTGACCCTCATCATTGAAGTCAATCTTCCAAGTGTCGTAGAGAAGGAGTGATGGCTGATCCTCTACTTTTCAGACATCTTCTAACTACACACACACACACACACACACATACACTCCACATCTAATTCAAGAGAGCTATAGAAATGCTATTTATACATGTGGATTCTTATACATTTGAATGCTATAAAGAAGCATTTCTTTGTGAGGAAAGGTTGTGTAGATTAAATTACTGTCAATGTTCTATTGTCATGTTGGATGATTAGTTTTATAGTATTCAGCATATTAGGAAAAAATAGAATAAATGAATGAGTAAATTAAAAAAAAAAAACATGCATTGACCAGTGATGGCAGTACCAGGAGCCAAGGATTATGTTAACACAAATGTGTGTACATGAGGGCCATTAAAACGTTACTTCTGTTCATCTGAACTATACAGGAACTCAAATACACATAATTAAGGAATACATACATGTAGGTACTAAAAATTTCTTTGCATGAACTGCCTAAATTTTGACATAAAATTCACTTTCACAGACTGCCAAAATTATTTAGTATAATTTTGAGATCTGAAATAATACAGGTGAGAGGGAGACAGTGAGGGTGGGAGCTAGGAGGGCAAAATGATCAAATGCAGAACATGAAAACAATGAAATCACAGACCCCACAGACACAGAAGACATCCCTCCCTTCCTCAGTACAACCTGGAACCCGGGGCCAAGTATATATAACAGGCTATACCTCTGCCCCATCCTGTTATCTGCAAAGCGTCTGTGCTTTAAATAAGAGCCAAGTGCCTGAAAGAGTTCACAAACTCTTCCCTTAGCCTCCAGCAGGATGGAGAGAGGCAACTCCAACTTTTTGTTTTGTTTTTTAACATGGAGTTTCTCCTTTTGTTCTTGCTGTCAGAGCAGCCTTGAGACCAAACTGTTACCAAGGAAACAGTACTAAGCCTCAACCAAGGCTTTGACATTTATTCACAAGACTTGTGGCACTGTGAGCTTGTCCACTGGTAACAAACAGTCAAAGCCTCGAGCAGACTTAAGTCTCAATGCTCCTAGGAAATTGAGATTAAACTATAAAAAGGCGAACAGCTGACTCGTGTCAGTAGGGTTGGAGTGACCTTTGGATAATGCCTAGTGGATCTCTGGTACTGGATCAAGAAGAGTGTTTAATGGGATGGGGAGGAGAGAATACGCTCAGGTATGACAGATGATGGTATTCATGCCCTCCAGCCAAAGACCACCAGCAACACACCCATAGTTGAGCAAGTTGGATCCCAGTGAGGGTAAACACTGCAGGAAACTGGGCATCTCAGTAAAAGGGTGTTAAAAGAAACTACTAGAGAATTTGGGCTTTGGGTGGATAATTTTGGGGAGAGTCTAAGGAAGCAAGGGTAATTCTATGATTGTCTCATTAAACGTCATCTATTGGTGGGGATGACTGAAGTGCCCATAGAGCTATAATTGGTTTCTGAAAAAGTAGCAGGTCCTCATTTTAGACAAGAAAGAGGGATATTTGGTATTGTGTGTTTGCCCAGGGATCTTGTTCTTGCCTTGCTTGATCATGCTCTCAGAGTGCTCTTGTTTGATGTGGTTGTTCTATGAAATTGTTCATGTACAAAGGGGAAAAACAGTGCCTAGCTGTGTGTGTGTCAGACAAGCGCCTGCATGTCAACAGGTGCTTTTGTTTTCTTCCGCAGCCCAAAAGAATGGATGAAGAGCCGTTGTTCCTCTTACACAATATTAAAATATGCATTCCTCTTGACTGAACATGGGGATAAATTGGGGAAAAAATTAATATCACAAGGTACCCAAGAGTGACCCTTGCAAAGGATGACTCCTTAATGCTGCCCTAGACAGGATGTTATAACTTGGTTATAACTCAAAATGAAGTTGGGACCACAAGTCAATGCTAACGGGTCACTTCCTTATTGTCTGAAACATCCCCCCTTCTGAATGTAGATGCCCTGAGCCGTTCTAGGAGGAATAGAAAGTAGGCTTTAGGGCAGCAGTTTGCTTTGACCTAGCAGGAATAACGTAACAATAATATACCTTCACAATCTGTGTAAATGCACTTGCTAACTGAGTCACACAGAGAAAAGCTGGAATTTAAAGTGGAAACTAAAGACGCCTTTACATTAGATACATAATGCTTTTCTGAAAGGAGTAGCGGAAGCCATTTTCTCCTGTGCTCAAACACCCCTTTTTGAATTTACAGTCTCTGGGGGACAGAGAGTAAGGTAGTAAAGATCTGGGGCCTCACTGAATCTTAAATATTTTTTAGCACAAAACTAGATGAAGCCACTAGGAAAATACTTTCCCAAGTTAAATTAAAATCCTTCGTGTTTTATCTGCCCTCTTTTAAGAAATGTTCATGGAAAAGTTTCCTAAACGTTCATAAAATCATCTGGGCATCCCCTTCCAATCAGGTCATTGGGTCACCTATAAATTCATTCAATTAACATTTATTGAACACCTACTACAATGCTAGTTACTGTTATAGGGTCTGGAAATACACAATAAACATAATAAAGCACCTGCCCTCATAAATATTCCAGTTTGAACATTAAAATGAACAAATAGGGGTGCCTGGGTGGCCCAGTTGGTTAAGCGTTTGGCTCAGGTCATGATCTCAGGATCGTGAGATCGAGCCCTGGGTTGGGCTCTGTGCTGGGCATGGAGCCTGCTTACGATTTTCTCCCTTTGCCCGGGATATCCCTCCTCCCCTCTGATGTGCGCACACACACACTTAACTCTCTTTCCAAAAAAAAATTTTTTTAATGTAAAAAAAATAAGACACCATTTGTTACAAAGACAAATAAAATAAAATAAAATGATCAAATAAACATATATCAAGTATGATAAGTGCTATGAAGGAATATAAAACAAAATAAAGTTAGGAAAGTGAGCGTTCTGGTGAGCGGGGGGGTGGGTACTGGACAAAGAGTATGTTTGCCATTTTATGGAGTTAGGTCCAGGAAAGCCTCTCTGATAAGGGGACATTTGGCAAATCCTTGAAGAAAATGGTGGAGCAAACCAAGCAGACAATTCAAGGCAAAGAGAGGTAAAACTATAGTTGGCATATTGAGAGCCGCAAGACAGACAAGAGTTCCATCCCTCTAAGAGTCAGTAGCTACTCTCTTGGATGTAAGTGTTGATTTCTGACCTTAACCTTACGATAGGATCCACTGACCTAATGGAAACTCACAACTTGTGAATCTCTCTCCTCAAACTTCAAAATCAAGGTGCACTTCACAGGAGTTTCTCCGTCTGGAATTTAGGAGTAAGAGGGGCTCATCTTAGTGGTTTCTGTGACCTCTACCAAAGGTATTGAATGAAGACATGCCTCTAAGTTCTGGGCCCCTGTCGATGGCCTGATGGATCCAGTAACAAGTGGAATTTGGAATCACATTCATATGAAGAAAATTGATTTGGAAACAATTGACTAAATTTGCACAGCAATGGAAGTTTCAGACTTACATATCGATGTTCATCAGGACAAATGTGCAGGGAGTCATAGGAAACAGCCTCAGGTATTCTTGGCTTCTTACTCCATTTTCCCTCTTCCCCCATTAAGCTGCATAATATCTATTCGACCTCGATTAAAATTAAAAGACACTTGGATCACAAGTCTCAACATAAAATGAAAAGTCTTGAGAAGGAAGACCGTGATGTTAGATAACTCTGGAATAATCAATTTGGAAATAATTGTTTATATTTGTAGAAAAACATAAAAAAATAATGTTGCTGGTCCCATAGGACTAGGAGCTTTGAGACTCTGTAGGAATTTTGTTGTAGAGAGATTGGCCTTCACTCACTCCCAACTCCCATACACTAGCCCCTCTGACATCCTGACAACATTTGTGGGTTTGTGTGTGAAGACATATAAACCCACTGGTGTGGGTGCATAATTATAGAAAATGGATCTGTTGTGTGCCTACCCAATGGGTCTGATATTTCAGAGCCAGAGGAAAAACATCCACATTCAGCCTTGGCTAAGTTAGCTGCCCTGGCTCCTGGACAACTGAACTCTTCAGTACAAAACCAACTTTATATCTGACCTGGAGTTGGGACAAGTTTGGAAACAGAAGACTCCTCGCTTGTTCCTTATTGCAATATTACCCACTCCTACCGTATGTGTTCCATACACTTATGATCCAAAAAGAAAACAGAGTTCCAGGTTAATTTCACAAATACACCAAAGGAGACTATGAAAGCTTTTCTGACTCTGATTAAGCACTGGCCACCTGTCAAGAGTGGCAGCAAACTCCAGCTTCATTGCTTTAAATAAATAGGCAGGCAGGAACTTGCCTAGAGAAAGACCATGCTATAATTTGAACAAAGGTTTTCATAAATGTACTAAAGAATGAAAAATGTAGTGGGTGAGGCTTTCCTAAACGCTCTCAAGTTAATGCCTTTCCTCTTCACTCCCATTATAACACAAATTTAATAAATGCACTTGAGTGTTTGAACTTTAGGAGATATAATTGTAACAGTATATGTTTTAGCCTGGATCCTCCAAGAAGCAGAAGCCAAGATGAGATCAGACGTGCAAGAGATTTATTAAGGGAAACATCTGTGAGAGAAAACAGAGAGGGACCAGAGGTTGGGAGGGCCAACAGACCTCAAGGTAGGTGTAATCTCAGGAAGGAGAGAGCAAAGGAAGAAAGGCTTACATTGCAGGGCAGGTCTCAGAAAGTCTCGTCAAGGCCAGTGGGAGTCCTTTAGCCCCAGTCGCCCATCAGAAGAGTCCCATGTCTCCCAGGAATGGGCCTGCCTTAGTCCCCTTAGTCCCCTTAATCACCAGTCAGGAGAAGCCAAGAGAATTGCAGCATGGCCCTGGCACCAGGATTCCAGAGGCATCAGCTGGGGCTGTCTGTCAAGTTCATACCCACTCCCTGCAGTTGGAGATCTGAGTGGAGCATTTTCATGGCCACCACAGTACTTATTCTTAAGACAGCTGTAGGCACCTGTTCTGGATCATCTTAAATAATGACTAAGTAAACCTCCCCAGTGACTCATACCAGTAAATGCACATAGGTGGATTCAACCATCCCTATTACTAAATTAGACTGTGGCTAATCCTTTCCAGATTCTTGAGGCCCTTCAGGGAAAGAATATATGGGGCCACATTAAGTATAATTCATAACTAAAAATAATTGAAGAAGGAAGTCAGTGACTCTTAATGCTAGCCCATAATTAGAAAGCCTATGTATGAAGTAACCCCTGCATTTGGCTTAGTGAGAAAGTGGAATTGCTGTAAGGATTTCCTGTTTAACAAAAATGGGCTGATGTACCACTGGTAACAGTAACAGCCGTGATTTGTGTATGCCTCTTGCTTAGGCCCGACAATTAAGTATCATATTGTTCATGCATATTAATTATGTACAACCCAGAAAGAGCCAGTCATTGCAGTACAAAGGATAGGGAGTAGCATGCTTGGCATCAGCTAATATATACCTACCCTTGGAACTGGATCTCATAAGGGACAGGTAGGTTACCTGAACAAAACTGGGATCTGCTTAGAAAGGGCAGTAGAAGGTGGGGTAGGATATAGACGCTGAAGAGGGAATCTCAGTGTTTACTACCTGCCATTTCTTAAAAACCTTCCTCCAGACTATAAACTCCAATCCCAACTCCTTGGATGCCATCCAAATTCGCTCCTGCAAGTGCTGTTAACAAGCTTCGGTCACAAGGAACATTTTCATGTCTTTCTCAAATCAAGCTTTCACACTGACATCTCCATGCTGTGGACCATGATGTGGTCTCATGGTGTAATGCCCTCCACTCTTCTCTGCCCACACACAATATTTATGTTTTTTCAAAGCTAAGTTTTAGCGTCCCCTTCTCTGTAAGTTCATCTCTGATGACTAGAAACCACTGCTTCTTCCTTTTTCTTCCCTGGCACTTATTTTGCAGCTGATTTGGACACCTACATAAATCCTAATGGTATTATGGTTCTTTCACCTCTACTATCTTCTTAGATTTATTGACTGTAGTATCATTTCCATCTCCCAGAGCACCTCACAGAACTCCTGCCCAATGAGAATATGTTGACTTTCATGGAGGAGTCTCTGTTTTCTCCCAGGTTGTAGGAAGGGCCTGGGGGTCTGCACCTTCACACCCTTTAGTTAGGCCCATGCTGGGCCACATTTCATTTGCCACATTTTAAATGGACCTTTAAAAAAATAGCAGCAATGTCCTCAATAGCCAAAATATGGAAAGAACCCAGATGTCCATTGACAGATGAATGGATAAAGAAGATGTGGTATGTGTATATAAATACAATGGAATATGACTCAGTCACCAAAAAGAATGAAATCTTGCCATTGGCAACGATGTGGATGGAACCAGAAGGTATTATGCTAAGTGAAATAAGTCAGTCAGAGAAAGACAAATACCCTACGAGTTCACTCCTATGTGGAATTTAAGAAAAAAATAGGTGAACCCACTGGAAGGGAAGGAAAAATAAAATAAGATAAAGACAGTGAGGGAGGCAAACCATACGAGACTCTTAACTGTAGGGAACAGACTGAGGGTTGCTGGAGGAGAGGTGGGTGGGGAGATGGGGTAACTGGGTGATGGGCATTAAGGAGGGCATGTGATGTAATGAGCACTGGGTGTTATATGCAACTGATGAATCACTGAATTCTACCCCTGAAACTAATAATATAGTATATGCTAACCGAACTGAATTTAAATAAAAAATTTAAAATAAGTAAATAAATAAATAAACAAATGTACCTTCATGCAGTTTCCTATGTTGTTTTGTTTCCATTCTTCGGCCAACTCCTGCTCCCAAATGGCAGATACTTCGATGACCACAGGTACCTTTTGCTCTCTGGCCCTGGAAAAATCATCTTTGTTTAAAACCCTTTCTTCTATTAGATCAACACCAAAATACTCTCAGGAGTCTTTCTAGAATAGTGGTACTTTACCATAAAGACAGTGATGTAGGTAGAGTCTGGTTAAAACTGTAGAGTCCCTCCCTAAACTTAGCGTTGGACATGGAACTCTCCTGACACACTCCCTCAGCGACCCACTCCACTTTGTTTCCCAAAGGTTTGTTTCCTCGCCTATAATCTAAGAATTCAACTAACCTCAGCTCGCATTAGGCTTCTATCCTGAAATACCCTGAAATTCCAATCGGTCTTCTCCAAATTGCCTTCGTTGTGTAGGTTTCTCCTTGCTTTTTCTTTCTGAAACCTGACTGCACTTTGGTCCTCTGCCAAACAGATTTCCACTAGTCCTCCAAGACTCAGTTATTTACTAATTCAGCAGACATCTCTTGAACATTCACTATATGCTTATGTATTCAGTCACACACTTTTATGTATTAAGAAACTAAAGCCTACCACGTGACAGAAATGAAACTAGGTAATGATGGGTACAGTGGAGACAGACACTAACTACACTCACAGCAAGAGAGACTATGAGAGAAACCAACGATAATCGGTGGTCATACAAGGAAGTGCGGCATCGCAACCTGGGTACCAATAAGAAGCAGAGGTATTGGGCGCCTGGGTGGCTCAGTCGTTAAGCGTCTGCCTTCGGCCCAGGTCATGATCCCAGGGTCCTGGGATCGAGCCCCGCATCGGACTCCCTGCTCAGCGGGGAGCCTGCTTCTCCCTCTCCCATTCCCCCTGCTTGTATTCCCTCTCTTGCTGTGTCTCTGTCAAAAAAATAAATAAAATCTTAAAAAAAAAAAAAAAAAGAAGCAGAGGTATTTGGTGTAATCGGGAGGAGGATTTGGTATAATCTGGAGGTTATGAAATTCTTTTCTAGGCAAGTGATGGCTGAGCCGCTTTCTAGGAGAAGGAAATTTCACTTTGATAGGAAGGAGTGTTGCGTTGAATAAACTTAAAGGAAATTCCGGGAGCAAGACAATCTCTGGCACAGATTTCTATTATACTCCCAGACCCAGTTCTCTAGCTTGAGCTCCGTGCACAGCTTTGAATCTCCGTCCGCACGGGGTGCACGGGCGGGTGCTGACCACCAGGGGGCAGCCCTGCAACGCAGGAGCCGCGGTTCTCCGGGGCTGCACCCCACGACCTGAGGGGAGGGGCGCGATTCCACTCGACGAACCGTCGGCCGCGGCTTACGTTGCAGTTGGGCGTTATTTACCCCGAATCTGGTTTACTGGGAACTCGGCGTTTGCTTTCAGCACCAAGTGTGACAGCAACTTTGCAAACCTCCCTCTCGTACCCCGGAACCCTCGGAGGGCCTGAGAGAGCCGCTTTCGGCCCCGACCCCTGCAGATTGAGGACCCTCGCCTCCTGGGAGGACTAGCCGCGCACCCCGAAGGAGCCCCGCAAGCCGCGTCACCGCCCCAAGTGCAACCCGTCGGGAGGAGCCTCGCGGAGGCGACTCGTGGGCGTAGAGCCCCGCCCTGTGCTCCCTGCCCGCCCCGCCCCAATAGCCCCAATAGCCCCAATAGCCCCGCGCCCCGCCCCGCCGGCCTCTGGGCCTCCCGCCGCGCTCCGCCCTCCGGACTGCCGCCGAGCCGCGTCTACGGGGCGCCCCAGGCCTCCGCTGCGCCCGCCAGCTCCCTCTCCAGACCGCGCGCCGCGCCGCGCCCTGCCCCACGCGCCCCCTCCAACCAGGCACCGGCCCACCCCAACTGCGCCCGGCCCAACCCCCCGCCCAGCCCCTGGACCGCCCGCTGCGCCACTGCAAAAATCCACACGCCCCGAGCCAGTGCTGAACATCCGACTACTGACCGTGAGTTTGCCCATCCGAGAGCACTGCGGTTGGGGCGGGGACCGAGCACCTGGGCACGCTGGCGCGCCCCGAGGTGCCAGAAGCATGCCCAAGAACGTGCCCTCAGTCGGCGTGGTTCTCTTATTAGGTCCAGGGTTTCGTTTCGTTTAGCCAGTCTGGTGCTACTTGGTGTTTGTCTCCAAACACGTTTCTTTGCCTCTTTGGACTTGTGAGTCAGGAATTTGATGGGTGTGTGCACGGATGTGTGCGTGTCTACGCGCGTGGGCACCTACTTCTAGGGAGTGGAAGTCAGAGTTCGGAGGAACTGTTACTCATCTCCTGGGTTTTTTGGTCTGTCTTCCCGTTCAACTATAGAGGTCCAGATCAGTAAAAGACTTCTTTCAAAGGTAGTTACCATGATCTTGACCTCAGGCGTCCTGACCTCTTTCGCTGCTTTTTCCCACTGCTACACCAGAAAGCTGAGATCACCCACATGCCCCATGATGCTCCATGTGGGTGTTGGTTCTCTTTTATGAATTCACTTTCCAGGGAGCATTGCTGAGAAACAAGTGGTTAGATGGGAAGAGAAGTTAGGGGGTGGAAAGGAGCTGGCCTTGTACAGGAAATACCGGGCAGGCTCAGGGATGCCAAGCCTGCTAGAGAGGTTTGTGGAGAATGTAGCAGGAAAAAAGTCTGGAAAACGGCAGAGAGTCCAGACCCTGGAGGCACTCAGCTTTTACCTTATGGGGAGTGGATGCAACTGAAGGGTTTTTATTACGAAGAGAAGTGGGTGGGATGGCCTGAGGAAGATTGTGGGTGAGAATCCATCCTGGGACTAAAGCCAGATCCGTTTAGTGTAGATGTGACTACAGACTGAGGGCACTGATGTTTGAGAGACCCCAGCGACAGACGATGAACAAAGTGAGGTAGGTGGCTGGCTGTGTATGGAAACAGGAGAGAGGAAGAAAGGAGGCAAAGGTAGAGGTGAGCTTTGGTGTCTTAGCTTCTTCCCCAAAGTAAAGCCTGCTCCAAGAACTTGAGGCAGGTAGTGTGTTTGGGAAGTGAGCCCAGAATGCCCGGTTGAGGACTTGGGGAGGGAGAGACCAGGAAGAAGGGAAAGGCAGTGAAGGGCACATGGCTGAGCTGTCTACCACCGTAGGCAGCTGGAGCTCAGTTCCTCCTGTGAGGAACTCCAGAACGCACGTGAGGTCCGCCACCGTGGCATGTGTCCCTGACGCTCCCCACTTCCCCGGGTGTTGGCTCTCTGCCACTTCAGGGCTGCCCTGTGCACCTGCCAAGTGAGCGGGCATCCGAGCGTTCCGGAAATTCCTCCATGGCGGCTGCTGAAGTCAGAGGTGGGCTGAGGGGAGTGGACAGGGGACGCAGGGCATGGCCCTTGTCACTTGGGGAAGCTAGAAAGGTCAGCATAGGAGCAGACCCTCGTGTTTCCTCAGAGCTCACTGTGTACTCACAACAGGGTGTTTTCTATGCATTCTCTTAATCTTCAAAAACAGTCCTCCAAGGGGTGTATTATTCTCTTTTTATAAATGGGGAAACTGAGGCTTAAGTCCTTTATCCAAGAGGAGCTGCTTTAAGGGAATAATGAGCTCAATTTTAGGCACACTGAATTGTAAAAGACCTCTGGAAACCACAGATTGCTACCCATAGGTTAGGGCAGGTGTATCAACTCATTCTGTCAAAACTATCCCCAAAAATGCAGTTTCTGAAGGGCCGCCTGACCTTTTCGGCGACAGAGATGCAGTCCAATACTAAGCCAACTCCTGCACACCGGCTCTCACCTCGTGCCAGGCCCTGCAGGACCCAGCCCCTCCCTCGGCCGCTCAGGTCCTGCTCCGACCCAGCTGGTACTCTCCAGCCTCCCTGCCCGGTGCTTCTTTGGGCCGGGTGTGCTCTTCCCCTGCAGCACTTCAGAGCTCAGTTGCAACGTCAGTTCCAGCTTCACGGTCACGTCCGTATCTAGGCCTTTCCTGTCATGCAACCTAAATTCTCCAGTTGCTTGATAACACATCGCTAGTTTACTTTCATGACAGTTATTAACTGCTGCATTTCATTTATTTGTCTACCTATTATTGTCCTTTCCCTTCTGAAACATCAGACTCATGAAAATGGGGCCCTTGTCTGCTGTGTTCCTTGCTGCACCCCCGGTGGTTGGCACACAGTGGGGAACCCAGTAAATGGTTTTTGTTCGCATGCATTTAGTTGGTGTGTTTTCACTCGGTCCTTCATCAGTTCTGACCAAGCTGAGTCTTTGATTTTCTCTGCAGCAGCTAGTTGAACCATGGCGACAACTCCCGCCCGTGCTTTCGAAGCCCTCATGCATGGAGTGACCAGCTGGAATGTCCCCAAAGGCCCCATCCCATGTGAACTGCTTCTTACTGGAGAGGCCTCCTTCCCAGTGATGGTGAATGACAAGGGCCAGGTCCTCATTGCTGCCTCCTCCTATGGCCGAGGCCACCTGGTGGTGGTGTCCCATGAGGGCTACCTGCTGAATGCTGGCTTGGCTCCATTTCTTCGTAACGCGGTGGGTTGGCTCTGTCCCTCACCTGGGGCTCCCACTGGAGTGCACCCATCCCTGACGTCACTAGTAAGTATCCTGCAGGGCTGTGGGGTTCAGGCACAAGTTCAGCCAGAAGTGGGGGCCCCCGTGGGGGTTTACTGCATCGATGCCTACAATGATATGATGACTGCAGAGCTGATCCAGTTTGTGAAATGTGGAGGCGGCTTGCTCATCGGGGGCCAAGCCTGGCATTGGGCCAGTCAGCATGGTCCTGACAACATGCTGTCCAGGTTCCCCGGGAACCAGGTGACAAGTGTGGCTGGAGTGTACTTCACCGACATCTATGGGGACACAGGCCGGTTCAAGGTCTCTAAGAAGATACCCAAGATCCCGCTCCACGTCAGGTGAGTGGTATTTCCCAACAGGGAGTCCGACACGTGTTAACAGTAGATCGAGCTCCCTCTTCGATGAGCTTCCCTTTTTTTTTTTTAAAGATTTCATTTATTTGAGAGAGAGAGCGAGCACGAGCCAGGGAGAGGGGCAAAGGGAGAGGGAGAAGTAGGCTCCCCACAGAGCAGGGAGCCCGACGTGGGCTTGATCCTAGGACCCCGAGATCATGACCAGAGCCGAAGGCAGATGCTTAACCAACTGAGCGACCCAGTCGCCCCCCCCCCCTTTTTTTTAAGTAGGTTCCATACCTAGCGTGGAGCCCAACACAGGGCTTAAACTCACAACCCTGAGATCAAGACCTGAACTGAGATCAAGAGTCAGACACTCAGGGGCACCTGGGTGGCTCAGTCAGTTGAGTGTCCAGCTCTTGGTTTCAGCTCAGGCTGTAATCTCAGGGTTGTGGGATCAAGCCCGGTGTCGGAATCTGCGCTCAGCGTGGAGCCTGCTTGGTTCTCTCAATCATATGCTCAACTAACTGAGCCACCCAGGCGCCCCTGAGCTTCCATTTCAATACACGTGATTCTCCACTCTATTTTGGAACTACCACAAACCAAAGACAGGATAATTAAAATGCACCAAGACCCAAAGGGGGCTGGGTTCTGACTGCTACTCTGTCCTGTGGCCAAATAGAAAAGCTTATCTTATTCACTTCTCTGTCTCCCGTGTCTAGTGCCTGGGTTGGTGAGAGTGTGTATGGGTGTCTCTCAAACAGATGAAAGAACATTGATTTATTCGTGTGAGCACTACCGTGTGCCAGGCCCCATTCAGCAGTCCAAGCCCAGCTACCTGCTCTATTATATTCCAGTGCAGAATTAAGCAACTGAGGGAACCTATAAATAGAAACTCTAGCAGGCGTTGATAAGAATTAACAGGAAAGGAAAGCAAGATAAGTGGACAGAGTAACAGGGAAGGGAGTGGAGGGTATTTAGGGTCATCAGGGAAGGCTTATCAGTCAGGACTAACTGGTGTTTCGACAGAGAGACTTAATACGAGGAACTGACTAAGCAGGTGATGCAAGAGCTGAAAACCTGTATGAGAGACCACACGGTAACTGAGGGCTTAGCAACAGCTCAACCGACAGAGGGAGGTGGTAATGTCCCTGGAGCCCAGGGGTGAGTCACAGGGTGGACGCTGGTGCCATGCTAGGACTGTCTAGCAGGAGATGGGACCCCAGATGGAAGGCCTGTCTGTGGGACCTGGGGTCTCAGAGGAGACACAGTGATTGTCAGAAACACAGCCTGAAGAGCGAGACAGAGACCCCGGCTCCTTCTCTCAGCCTGCCTGCCTTCCGGCTTCTACCCATAGGATGGGACACAATGTCTGTTTCCCTCACCATGATATTAGCAGTCATTAATCATCATTGCCTAGCCCTAGATCTGTTAATTCATTAGTGGTTATAAAATGGTAGGTTTAAAAGTTTTAGCAGTTCTTTCATTTAGCATTTGGAATACTCCTATAAAAATGAACCTCCCTTCCTCCACTATTTGCTTGCCCTGTGGTTCAGTCTGTGTAGGGAAGGCAGGATAAATGCGGGATTCTCCCTCTCCTCCCCTTTTTAACCAGTTTTCGAAGCACTGGTTCGAGGGGATACCTAGAATCTTCCAGAGGTCTCCATTGTGAACTCATGGATTGAAATACTCACATAATAAACGTGTTTCATGTATTATCTTTATCAGTGCTACTGATGAAGTAGCTTTGTTGGTCATCTGATGTTTGGCCATCGTGAGCCTATTCACAAAACGTCTCCTGACCTCCTGAAATTTTTGACCCAACCTTAGTGGACTTCCTTGTTTCGGTCTCACGTTACACGTTCCTGCCGCAGACCCAAGATCAGCCATTTCTCCAAGGAGCCTGCCCTTCTTAGAGTGTTAAATGGTGTTTAGGAGCCAGAGTCTGTTGAGGGGCTCACTGCTCCTGGGTTGATCATTGTTTCCAGGCCTTTTGAGTGGGCAGAGCTAAGAAGTAAGTATTTTTAAAGATAAACACATCAAGAGTTCGTACTGAGGCTTCAAATTCAACTTCTGGGCTACAGGGTTTTATTTCATTTCAGCAACCGTGCATCTGTCTCCTTTTTTCCCATGACGAAAAAGCCTAGCGCTGAAAGAAAGCAACTTAATGACTCATTGGCTTTATGCCACAACACACACGTAACAGTTGCAAAATAACAGTACTACTGCAGAGTTAAAGATTATGTCCAGTTCCTTCCATCCTTATGATATATTTTATGAGGTACACAAAGTCAAATTACCATCCTTTAACGACACTTAGACTAGCCCTTCTCTTTGTGGTTACACCACTGAGTGGATACACATGTAGATTCATTTGGATATTTTACTTTTGCTTTGGGGAGTTGCTTTTGTGAATTAATAATTATTTTATAATTATGTAACATAGCTATGTGTATCTAAAGTAAAATCTTAAGAAGCCAGTATTGGGCGCCTGGGTGGCTCAGTTGGTTAAGCGACTGCCTTCAGCTCAGGTCATGATCCCAGGGTCCTGGGATCGAGTCCCACATCAGGCTCCCTGCTCTGCAGGAAGCCTGCTTCTCCCTCTCCCTCTCCCCCTGCTTGGGTTCCCTCTCTCGCTGTGTCTCTCTCTGTCAAAAAAATAAATAAAATCTTTAAAAAAAAAAAAAAAGAAGCCAGTATTCTATCCCCTGTTCCCTTTATATAATTTTCTTCTCTCCCTTTTAAAAAAAAAATATCTTTACTCCACTGTTGGTTTATATATGAACGCATACATACACACTTGAAAAAGATAATAGTATACTACACATACTTTCTCCACCTTGCTTTTTTACTTAACATTACTTTCTGGGGGCGCCTGGGTGGCTCAGTCAGTTGAGCATCTGCCTTCGGCTCAGGTCATGATCCCGGGTTCCTCGGATGGAGCCCTGTGTCAGGCTTCCTGCTCAGCAGGGAGTCTGCTTCTCCCTCTCCTTCTTCCCCTTCCCCCAGCTCGTGCTCTCTCTCTCGCTCTCGCTCTCGCTCTCGCTCTCACTCTCTCACTCTGCTCTCTCCCCCTCTCAAATAAATAAATAAAATCTTTAAAAAAAACACATAATTTTCTGGATATGGCTCCATAATAGCCTATAGATATGCACTACATATTTTATTACACTGAAATGTATAGATGCAATGTAGTTTATCCAGTTAATTTTTAATGACAGACATTCGAGTTTTTAATATTTAAATTTTTTTCCAGTATTCTTACTATTACATCTATACTACAATAAATGCCTATGTGCATATGTCTTCATATTTTTGCCATATCACTGGAAATGGAATTGGTGAGTCAAAGGAGAACTGCAAATGTAATTTCTGCTAAACATTACCAAATTCCCCAGAACTGGGTTCCCCATGAACCCAACTCAAAGACTGACACAGTGTACAGGAAGTTTACTAGGAGGGATTCTCCAAATCAGTACCTATGGGGGAAGGGAAGATGGAAGGGTTGGACAGCAGAAATTGGGCCATGAGGCAGATATTTAGTAGCAAATATTTTTAATGGTATTTTCACTATTAAGTAAAACACTGGGAAAACTCTAAGTGTCTAATAAATGGAACACTGCTTAAATTATTATGGTATATCTTATTCTTCAGGTCCTTAAAGACTTACTACTTAAAGGAATGAGAAAATACTCATAATACAATAGACAGAATTAAGATATAAAGCTACATTCAAATGATGCCAAATTTGTTAAAACATGTACATATATAAGTAGAAAAAACACTAGAAGGAAATAAAGTATTAATAGTGTATCTCTAGGGATAGGTGATTATTCTTTTCATCTTTAAACATTTCTGTAATCTCCAAATTTTCTGTAATTATAACCTGAAAAAACTTTTTTATATTACTTTTCTGCCTTTTTTTAATAAAATCTTAAACAATAGAAAAAAATGTCCTCAAATTACACCCTGATGTCTTTCTTTAACCTCACATCTTCTATTGTTTTATTAATTTGGCAACAAAATGGATAAAGAAGCAAATTTCCTTAACATATCAATTTTCCTTCCCTCTTTCTAGTACCTGTCCATTCTTTCATTCATCTAAAATGTATTTTGGGGCTTCTGACTGGCTCCAACTCTTGATTCCAACTCAGGTCATGATCTCAGTCATGAGATCAAGCCCCACAACAGACTCTTGCTGGATGTGGAGCCTGCTTAAGATTCTCTCTCCCCCCTCCCCCGGCCCCTCCCGCCATGCACGCACACTCTCTCTCTCTCTCAAAATAAATAAAAATTAAATAGATGATAGATAGATAGATAGATAGATAGATAGATAGATAGATAGATAGGTAGATAGATAGATAGATAGATAGATAGATAGATAGATAGATAGATAGATAGATAGATAGATAAAATGTATTAAGTGCCTGTTAAGTTCCAGACACTATTTTGGGCACTGGGCTTACAGTGGTGTTTAACTATAGTTAATATAGTTTATTATAGTAGTGTTTAGTCTATACTTGAATGACCAACAGAATTGCTGGGAATGTTCAGGTAATGTATGAAAATAACTCTTCCACGTTATCGGCATTCCTTATTTGTAAAACTTTCACTGAAATAACAATATGACATTGAAGTATCTGAGTATGTTTAGTTTCTCATTATGTCCCCAACAAAATCTTGACCTTCTGTAGCCTTTCTGTAACTTCCATCACATCCATCATTTTTGCTAGTTGTGATTGTGTACTGCTATTCTGTATTTGTTTAAAACCATTTTTCTATTTTTTAAAAATAATCTTTTTAATGAGAGTTTTTACTTACAGTAGATGTGCCATATTTTGTTTAACTGTGTCCTTTTGTTGAGTACTTAGGCATTTTCTAGTTTGGGTATTTCAGGACGAGCTGTAGCTGATACATCAACCACACACATCTTAAAGTATTTTAGAAATCCCCCCAAATTCAAAGACCGTAAGTGTAACATTAGGTTTCTTGTCTTATAAAATTTC